CCCAGGAGTGCAAAGGCCCCAGCCAAACTTATCAATCTCAAAGGAACAACTTGGAGAAATCAACAGGGAAGTTTGGGACATTTTGTTACTTATTCAGTCCTGGGCGGTGGCAGTCTGGGATACAGTGGAGGGCCACTTTGTACCTAAAAGCAGGAGGAATACATAGGAGAAGTTGCATACCCACTACACAAGTGGATTTCTTCTGATGCTTTATGAGGACATTCCTTTACTTTACAACCAAGGTCACTCTGTTTAGATCCTCTCCTAAAAATTGAAGATAGGAAGGTCGCCAGCTCCCCCTTTCCAGTTCCCACATTACCATATTCTTTTAGAAAACTTCTTATCTCACCTCCAGCTTCCCTAGGCACTGATTCGTGTTTAACCCAACACTTCAGCCTTCAGCCCCTTCTTGTCCCTCACAATCTCAGACCACCTCATGCATTCCACATAGCCCTTGAGCAGCGTTCCTGAGGCTCACTGCACCCATATCTTAACAATAGCAGCTTCAAGAACAAGAGCCTATCAGCAAGCATGATAAGGTAATTAAGATAGCAATGACTTGTGTAGATGCTGGGTTAAAGCATGAGGATATTGTGTTCTAGTCTAGTGCTGTTGAGTCTAAGTTCACCCCATCTTATTTGTGAGTGGGAGTCTCCAGGGAAATCCTGTGCTGCAGTCACAAGGAGTTTTGAGCAGATCCAACAGTCAGTCTGGTTGGCATGGTGTAAAAGTTCCCATTGCCCAGTCCAGAAACAAGTTACTTGTTACTAATCTATGAAGAATATAGCAAATGTCTAGTAGACACTAATGATGGCAAATCAGCTCCCTGCAGCAGTATACAGGTATGATCGTGTGTTAATAAAGCAGCCTGCACAGTAGACTAGCCTGGGCAAGCATACCCTAACACTCTATCTTTTTGCATTTCAGGAATATAGAAAGAATAAGAACCTCAGGAATACATGTAACTCACTGCCATCAATTGCTACACAGTGTCCTTCAGGTGATGACACTGAAGGTAACATCATCAGTACATTTGAGAGCCAGGTTACCACATGGTAGTAGGTTGTACAGCCTTGACTGGTGCTGCTCTAATGGTGGGGGAAAGGACAGTATAAATGGCACACAGTTGTCTTTTTTAACAAGTTGTAACATTCTTCTGTCCCCTTCCATAACTGTGCCCAAAATTCAATGGGGAGGGTCCCGAGTACTTTAATCCACTACAATAAGCCCCATCCAAAGTTGTCCAGAGTGGCATGGATGGTAAGCTCAGCAGTGTTTAATGTGTCTAGTGTACCAAGGACCTGTGCCTATTTTGAAGTTCATTTGGCTTGATTACATGCCTCAGTGTGTAGGATAGTCCAGTCCCATATTGGACCCCTCCTATGCAAATTATATAGAGGTCATGATAACTGAGTTAGATGAGGGAGGAAAGTCCTCCAACAACCTAGTAGCCTCACAAATTGTTGCATTCGTTTTACTGTGTTGGGAAACAAAAACACCTGAACTTTATCTATCCCAGCTTGAGGTACAACCTTTGTCTTACTGACAAGATCATACCCAAGAATTTTACCAATAACCCAGGGCCCTGTACTTTGTCAGGTTTCACAGCCCATTCTCTCCCTTCCAAGTGTCTCAGAAGTATGGGTACCACCTCAGTGAGTGCTGAAAAAGATTCATAAGTAGAAGAATATCACCTGAATAACAAAATATTTTTATCTGTGAAAATTAGGATGAAGTTTCTAAATATTTTCCTACTAAACCATGACACAAGTTAGAGCCAGGGAAATATTCTTGAGATAACATCATTAATGTCTATTGTCAGCCTTCCCATGTGAGGTCAAATGGGTCTTGATTCTCCCAGGCTATATCTATGCTAAAGAAAGCATTAGCAAGGTCTAATACACAATGATATATTCCAGCTGGGTGCTGAGCTCTCCTAGAATGGTGGCTATACTGGGGATGGCTGCATAAAGTAGAAGACCCACCTGATCTAATTCCCTGTACTCCATTGTCATGCACTAAGTTCCATCCTACTTTCGTACCAGGAACATAGGGGAGTTAAAAGAAACGTAAATGGAGCAAATTATATTTAGTTTAGCCAATTCATATATGGTCTCTATTATCTCTTGATGGCCACCAGGGAACTGATATTGTTTAATGGCAACAATTCAGCAGGGTGCAGTCAACAACAGGGGGGTGTTTCGCAGGCCCTCCTAATATTGGCTTTACAGCTAATATATGTTAATCTCTAAGCAACATAAATAAACTACCCCTTGGTAGCTTGTAGGCATGATATTAATATGATATTAATATTCATGAATAGAGGCTATGAACACCAGAAAGGGATTGGCTGGCAAGTGTCCAAGCCACAGAGTCAACATTATGGCTCAGACTCCCACTGTTTTTGCCCCATATCCATCAGTAGCAGTTAATCTACCTGAGAACTCATCAGGATTACCATCTATCAATGAGCGTTCAGCACCCATGTCCACCAATGCTGTTATTCTCTGAAAGTTCATTGAAGACCAATGCATTGCCAGTTCTATATATGGCCTCTGCTCCAGAGACGTGGCACATACCCTGACCTCTAAACCTTGACCTTTTCCCTAGTCATCCCACACCCAGAGGCTCAAAGACTCCTGAGGGGAAGCTGTGGGCTCTGCTTTCATTACATCTCCCAATAGGACAGGCTTGCTTGTCTCTCTCTTTTTGGGGTACACCATTCTTCCCTTTGGATGCTTCCCCTTTCATTTCCGTATTGAGAGGTAATGGCTGAAACCTCTTTTTGGCAATTGCTTCCGTAACTGTACTGGGGTGGCATTAGGTTGTTCATCTATTTTCCTTTCATCTACTCCTGCTGCTTCTGTCTATGGGAGACTAGGAGAGGGTCTTCTAGTTTTCCTGAGTTTTATGGCTTCCTGTTCTCCACTGTAATCCTTCTGTCTCCCCTAGATTTGCTATCAGTTGTGCTGCTTGCTGTGGGGGCTGCCTTACTAATAGGGATAATATTGAAACCAGGGCACCTCAAATGGGCAGGGGGACTACATGTAGCACCGCATCCCTCATCTTGGCAGTAAAAGTCATACTGTTTGATCCTGGGAAAGGCTGCACACAAACAGATGTTCTATTCCCAGTTCCTGCAAATGCTCTGTAGATCTTCCTCAGAGGCCCAGGTGCCTGTGGGCATAGGAATGTTTCCTGAATTTGGCCACATATTGTGAGTTGCAGGAAGCAGCCAAGCTAGTAATGACCCTACATTTCCTCGGTGGTACTGGCATAAAGCTGCTGATGTAAAGCAGAGCCATTCCTGAAGCCACTTAAGAGAATTCTACACCATTCAACATCATCCCATCTGCTCCAGGGTCCTACAAGGGGAGCAGCCATACACTTCCTTTCATTTTCTGCCTGAACTCAGACCCCTCCGTGGAGGTATAGGGTCCCATGGTGGTAGGTAAACATCTCTCCTGAGTGGGCAGCAGATCTGGATCTGACCTCTTGGGCCACTCCTCCTGAGTTAATTCCCTGTACTCCATTGTTATGTACCAAGTCTTTAACTTTTGAACCATTACACATCTAGCTTATGCTATAGTTTTGTCCTCCACCTCAACTTCTGAATTCCTGGAAATAGTGGATGCCCTGAATGGGTCCCACATCTGAAGGTCCCAGTTTTTACTAGTCACCAACACCCTAATACGGGTGCTGGACCCCAATGTCCCCTCAATTTAGCATAATAGCAGGCAGTGACCTGCAGATGCTCATCTTCAAGGTCTCAGTGGTGCGATGGCACATCCTAGCCGTTAGCCTGTGCTGAATGGGCCTCTCTTTCTAGTTGTAACTCTCCCTGTCCTCCAAGGAACCGAGCCTGAGTGGCTGACTTCAGTGCACACCGTGGGGGCCTGGCCACCACTGCAGCAGCATGGTTTCTGTTCTCTTTCCCATGATTCCTTGGTTTAGGCGATGACTTTGGATGCTGCTTGCAACACTTGCAGCACCCCTCTGGGTTTTCAGAATGTGCTCATACTTACACAGTGGTCCCCACCCCTCCAATAGGGGAGCCACCTCAAACTGCATCCAGACTTGAGACCAACCTGGGATTTCCCCTGTAGGACTTTCCCCTCCAAGCCCTTTCCCAACTCCAGACTCAACAAGTTTCTCTCTGGGACCCTGCTAACTACACCAGTTGTCCAGCCATAGGGCTTCAATCCTCGCTGACAGCATTCTGGGATACAAAAGAAGGCTGTTCTGTGCCTACAAGCAGGGGAAATATAAAGGATAGGTTGCCGTCCACTCCCCGGGTGGCTTTCTTCAGATGTTTTATGAATACATTCTTTTACTTGACAACCAAGGTCACACTTGAAATCCTCTCTAAAGTTGGAGGTCGGGGTATGCCTTGTCCAATCACCTGCCATCTGCTACTGTGGACCTTGGGACTGCTCTGATGCTGAATGCCCTGAACTGTCCTTGCCCCACCTGATGGAGAACAAGGAATTCAGGTTACTTCTGCCAACTTCATCTCCTCTCAGCAGGAAGCAGTTTGGAGATGTCATCGCCCATATTCCCATAGAAATGGAATGTAGGGGAAATGTTACAGTGGTCCACTTTACGCTTTGAATACAACCCTTGCTGCTCTGCCATTGCAAGTGATTTTTAAAATGGACATGTTTCTTTCTCTTCCTCTCTCCCTAATCCCTCCCCCTCCCTAATCTCAGAGGAAACAGGAATATGTTTCTTCACCATCTTAAACAGATTGATCAGTCCTTGAGCACACGCTCACACCATAGGTGATCTAGATTTGGGGGATGGTACCAGATGATCTCAGAAATGACTATCTCCCAAATTAACATTAAATGACAACTCCAACAGCAGAAGTCCCCTGGTTTCTCCCTGGCTAGCAAAGCAATAAAACTTCTTTTTTCCTTTTTCAAGAAAAATAAATATTGGAGGTAGGGGAAGCTATCAACTCCTCCTTTCCATTTCCCTCATTGCCACATTCTTTTAGAAAACTTCTTATCTCACTGCAAGCTTTTCTAGGCTCTAATTAGTGTTTAACCCAACACCAAGAAAACACAATCTCAATCTCTCTCTCTCTCTCTCTCTCTC